CGTCGCCCGTCGAGGCGACCTCGGGGACCCGCGCGGCCTCCCCTCCCGTCGCCCGTCGAGGCGACCTTGGGGGCCCGCGCGGCCTCCCCACCAGTCGCCCGTCGTGGCGACCACGGGGGCCGCGCGCGGTCCCCTCCCGTCGCCCGTCGAGGCGACTTCGGGGGCCGTGCGCGGCGCCCTCCCCGTCGCCCGTCGTGGCGACTTCGGGGGCCGTGCGCGGCCCTCCCCGTCGCCCGTCGAGGCGACTTCGGGGGGCCCGCGCGGCGCCCTCCCCGTCGCCCGTCGAGGTGGCTCTGGGGGCCCGTCGCGGCGCCCTCCCTGGTGCCCGTCGCGGCGCCCCGGGGGGGGGCGCGCAGCTCCCTTCTCGTCGCCCCTCGGGGCGCCCTGGGGGCCGTGCGTTTTCCCCCCCCGCGGCCGCCCCTGGAGCCGCCCGCCACTGCAGCAGCAGCCCCTGGAGCCGCCCGCACCTGCAGCAGCCGCCCCTGGAGCCGCCCGCCAGTGCAGCAGCCGCCCCTAGAGCAGCCCGCACCTGCAGCAGCCGCTCCTGGAGCAGCCCACACCTGCAGCAGCCGCCCCTGGAGCAGCCCGCACCTGCAGCAGCCGCCCCTGGAGCAGCCCGCACCTGCAGCAGCCGCCCCTGCAGAAGCTCGTCCCGTCCCCCCCCCCCCCCCCCCCCCCCCCCCCGTGCTGCCCATTGCTCCCATTCCACCGTGCGTTCCGCGGTGGTTGGGGTGTGGGGTGGTGAGCATGGGGGTGAGAGGTGTGGGTTCTCCCCTCCTCCTTTTTCGTCTCCCACTGCTGCAGCTGCCGCTGAGGGGGGTGGAGGTGTGGGAGTCGTGGGGAGTGGCACTAGGGGGGTGATGTGGGAATGGAGCTAGGGGTGAAACAGGGGGTGTGTGAGAGGGGTGTGGGACTGTTGGGGGAGGTTGAGTGGAGGCTGCTGTCTTGTCGTCCGCAGCACCTGTAGTCCGGGGCGCACTGTCCTGGTAGCTCAGAGAGCCTGCTGCACCTGTTGCCCGTGGGTCCGTTGCTCCTGCCGCTCGTCGCAGCCGCAGAGCCTGTTACTCCTGTATTCCGGGACGCACTGTCTCGGTAGCCACTGAGAGCCTGCTGCACCAGTCGCCCGTGGGTTCGTTGCTTCTGCCGCTCGTCGTAGCCGCAGAGCCAGTTACTCCAGTATTCCGGGGCGCTCTGTCTCGGTAGCCACTGTGTCAGCCGCCACTGTGTCAGCCGCTTCTGTTGCCCGTGTGTCTGCAGCTTCAGTCGTCGCCTCCCATCTTCTCTCCTTTCATAGTCCCTCCTCTTCCTCCTCACTTGCCCTCTGTGATAGCCTCTAGCTTTGCTGATAATTATGAACTATTGCTATGACTGCTCATTGTGCTGATTACACCCCACTTTGGCTATGGGGGTGTGTCAGAATATGTTGTTTGTGACTACTTCTGACAGCCGAGGCCTTTTAGGGGCGGCGGAGGGGCCGCGTAGGGGCCGCGTCAGGGACAGGGCCGGGCCGGGCCGTTTTAGGGGCGGCGTAGGGGCCGCGTCAGGGGCGGCGTAGGGGCCGCGTCAGGGGCGGCGTAGGGGCCGCGTAGGGGCGGCGTAGGGGCCGCGTCAGGGGCGGCGTAGGGGCCGCGTCAGGGGCGGCGTAGGGGCCGCGTCAGGGGCGGCGTAGGGGCCGCGTCAGGGGCGGCGTAGGGGCCGCGTCAGGGGCGGCGTAGGGGCCGCGGCAGGGGCGGCGTAGGGGCCGCGGCAGGGGCGGCGTAGGGGCCGCGTCAGGGGCGGCGTTGGGGCCGCGTCAGGGGCGGCTTAGGGGCCGCGTCAGGGGCGGCGTAGGGGCCGCGTCAGGGGCGGCGTAGGGGCCGCGTAGGGGCGGCGTAGGGGCCGCGTCAGGGGCGGCGTAGGGGCCGCGTCAGGGGCGGCTTAGGGGCCGCGTCAGGGGCGGATTAGGGGCCGCGCAGGGGGCCACGTAGGGGCCGGGTAGGGGCCGCGAAAAAATTTAGGGCAGGGCGCGACGCGCTTCGGGCAGCTAAAAAAAAAAATATTACTTATGGTGGGCCCTTAGGAAGGAACGGTCCCATGTGGGAACCCGCTCTATACCATGTGAAGAATGAAACAGGAAAAATGAATGAACTAGGAAAGTGTGAGATACAAATATAAAACCTGTACCCCTTAGTGTCTACCCCACTACAGCCTACATAGGCTAAGGCATATATATCTGACAGGGATGCCTTCTCTTTGCGGCTGTTACCTGCCGCCCGGACCTATCATACTCCGCAAGTCAACTCGCCACCTATCTCAAAAGGCCTGAAGCTGATCACATGACGGAACTCGACTGCGCTCTTCACTACCTCGTTAGTACTCCAACGATCGGCCTGATCTACTACAAGAACAGAACTACAACGCCCAAGTTAATCGGCTACGTCGACGCCGACCACGCCGGAGATTCTGACAACAGGCGCTCGCGTACATGCTACATCTACCGCCTCGAGCCTATCGGACCTATCTCGTGGCAGTCGAGTAAGCAGGAGTTAATCGCTCTCTCTTCAGCCGAAGCAGAATATATCGCACTCTGCTCAGCCACCAAGGAAGGACTATACCTTCGCGAACTTCTGGAGGAGGCGAAGCTGGCTCAGTTACCCAGCTTCTCCTTGTTCTGCGACAACCAGTCGGCAATTCGCATAGCCAACAAAAACGGATTCGCGAACAGGACGAAGCATATCGCCCTGCGATATTTCTTCGTAAAGGACGAGATCGAGAAGGGGAGACTCGAGCTGTCTTACTGTCCCACGTCCGAGATGGCAGCTGATTACTTGACCAAGAAGCTCGGGAAGCAGAAGTTCGAGTACTGCATGCTCCTGACTGGACAAAGCCACGTCACCAGCAGCGACACTCCAGAAGCGAAGGGGGGTGTTGGAAACAGTTGATTTAAAGCGCTTCTATCATGTCGAAACATCAAGTCAGAAGCGAAGCAGAACATATCGAAGCATCAGCGAGTCAACCCTCGGAGGTTGAACAACTGCTGGAGGTTACGCGAAAGTCAAAGGTCAGCGACCTTTGACCTGACAAGTACAGCGCGACAGCAAGGACAAACAACTGACTCGCTACTGAGCAGTTGCCCGAGTCGACACTGTATCGAACCGCAACAGCAACAGTAAAACGGTTATTAACCGTATCTCTTCATATTCCTTGTATCCTTATAAAACTTGTATCTCTTTGTTTTAATCAATCAACTTTGCCCTCACATACCAGCGCAAGGTGGTTCACAATCCTTTTATTAAACGCTTCCGCTATTACATTGTCCTACCCTGAATTTAGTCCTGCAAAGATCCTAAGGGCTTTTTCAGCCCAACAGACAGGGCTCTGATTATGGGCCTTGTTGCTATGGCTGACAACATCTTTGTCAACAAAGTAGATGACCAGAATATGGCTAATTTGTTCAAAGTTTTGGGTATGAAGTTCTGCTATCAATGCAGGTATGGCTGTAAATGCGTATTTTACTACTAGAACAAATAAATGTGTACATTGATGGTTATCAATCATCGATCAGAAACTGATAACAATACAAGGATGACAATATTCCTCACTCATCAACAATGAAGAATCTTCATTATGAATCAGCAACAAATTTTAATCTTAATCACTAGCAACAACCTTCAAATAGAGAAGATAACTCTGGTGAGTTTGGAATCCTCCCCCCATCGCTCGCTGTGTCCCGTGTGCTGCCGAACATCGTCCCAGAGATGTCTCCAGCCTTTCTCCCACGCCCTTTCCCACCCGTCGTTTGAAACTACTCCAGTAGTCAACTTACCTTCTCAGGTACTAATTTCCACTACCTTTCTCCCACCCTCTTCACTGCTAGGGCTTAAGGCGCTCACGCCTAGAGCGCCTGCCTTTGCCCTCGTGCATTAGGCGATATACCCTAGGGCACTCGCCCTAGGGCGCTCTAGTCTTAGACGCTGGAGGCTAGGCCGCCGATGGCGCTAGGCTGCTGGCCCTAGGGTGCTAGCGCCAAGGGCGCTGGCTTGGCTTTAGCGCCTTGAAGCGTCTGGTGGAGCTGAGCAGGCGGGGTAAGGCAGGGGAGCGACATCTAGAGCGCATTAAACATCGTCTTTCTACCCTCACGGGAGTTCAGCATATGAGTTGATCAGAAAGAGCATAGCAGGGAGTGCCTGCGCAGGTAGAGCGGTTACAGTCGCGAAAATTGACACACGCTTCTTTGCTTCTTCGTTAGGACCTTTTCATGCCAGAACGGCTCTGAAATTCTTTCCCACAGGTGCCAGAGTCGCGGATAACATCGCACAGAGACATCTCACTAGGGTTTTGAATCTGATCCGTTGGTGAAGTGAAGTACGGGCTGTGATTGGAGGACGGGGAATCTTCCGTGTTTCTGCCTGACCATGAGGAACCGAATCGTTGATATTCCGTGTAAGCTTCAAGTTTCGCGGTCCCGTTAGCGTGTAGTCTCAGGGGGTGTGAATGGGAGACGAGACATTCCGTCAGTGAAGCAGCATTGGGTGATAGTTGCAAGATTTGTTGGTTCGCGATTTTCCAGAGGAGTCAGACGTAATCTCGGCGGGTGACTACGTGGGGGCATTCTAGCGCAACACTTGCATCCCACTGAACCGCGCTGCATGCCACTGAACATCAGTGGTTTTCCACTGCACAGCACTGCGTGCAATGCTCCGCACTCTTATTCATGTTGCTTACGGCTGACATTATCTCACCTTACCGACCTTCACGTTGCTTCATGAGTACAAGATTGGCTGTGCCGATCTGCTACTCAAATTGTTTATTTATTTATTTTAATGGGTTTCTTGCTTATCTGATTTGAATCGCCTTTAAACAAAAAATTATACTACATGTGACAGAAAATGCTGGCGTAGCTCACGATCCTTCCTGGATTCTCTCTGGGGTTCCAATTCATTATTTCCAGTTTCGCTCCTCTAGCATCCCGTTTCACTGTTTTATACATTCCCCTGCAACAACTCACGTCGCCCCTGCAGTAGTTCCGTCCGGCCTATCACGCGATGACACGTATCGCCATATACACCACTCGCTCCTCCTCCTGCAGCAAGTGTCAGAAGCCGTGTTGCAGAGAGTGCAGCAGAGGGTACGTACGTCCATGTAGCTTGTGATACAGTATCTTTCGCCCTAGTCTCGACTGTTCGTTCAATGGCTGACATGCATCAAGTGTCAGAATTCGTGCTGCAGAGAGTACAGCAAAAGGTACGTTCCTGTAACCTGTAATACAGAGTGCAGCAGCGGGTACGCTCCTGTAGCCTGTAATACAGCATCTTTCGCCCTAGTCCCGACTGTTCGTTCCATGTCATCCTGTCATGCAGCATGAGTCAGAATTCGTGCTGCAGAGAGTGCAGCAGAGGGTATGATCAGGTAGCCTGTAACAGATTATCAGGTATGATCAGGTAGCCTGCAACACATTATCAGGTATGATCAGGTAGCCTGCAACAGATTATATTTCCCGTGATCCTGAAATTCGTGTCATGACTTCTTGTCATGCGGTTCATGACATCAGCAAGAGAGTCGCAACTTTTCGGAACAAGATGTGGGGACGGCGTGAAATGAGATGAGTTTTGAGGCGCCGCGAAACTAGGAACAAGATGTGGTCACGGTGGTAGTGTATTTCGGCTTCTGTAAATTTGTTGCTTTCATTCTCGCATCACCTTTATTTATTTGTTCTCTCTGCAGGTTGACGTTGAGGCAATGCCGTTTGCTGACATGGCATAAGCAAGACAGTTGCCACTTTCAGGAACCATATGTGCTCAAGGTGTTGTGATTGTACTTCAGCTTCTGTGAATGTGTGCTTTCTTCCTCGCATTCCTTTTCTGTTTTGCTCTGCAGGTTGATGATGAGGCAAAGCTGGTTGCTGACATCAGCAAGAGAGTCGCAACCGCAAGCGTAAGCGAATCAATCACTAAGTGCCAACTAACATCCAGGTGAATGGCATACTCATGCGAAGCTCGTTTGTTGCCCAAGCGTTTCCCTTTTTGTTGCATCCACTTGAACTCCCTTCAACTGTCAACACCGCTCACGGCTCTTTTTTTTTTTTTTTTTTTTTGCCCCACTGCGTCCACATTTTTTCCACACCGCACCCTTCTCGTTCTTTTGTTCATCATCCCTCGGAGTCCATTTTCCATGACAGAAGCAGGTGGATCTCGTCCTCTCCACCAGGGCACCAGTCCACATCAAATCCCCGGCGTCTCTGCCAATTCCAACTGCAACAACAACGCTGACAAGGCTGAACACTCCCCTTCACGTCAACAATCCAAGCCTCACCACTGCAGGCTCTGCCTGCAGCCTTCTCTTTCCTGCCACAGTGCCACTCCTGCTGGAAGAAGAAACTGCCTTACCCGGAGCTACCAGAGTTACCAGTGCTAGCAAACCTACCACTGCCAGCGTTGCACAATCCGCGAACGTATCCCAGAACCTTCTGAGATTACCGCTTCCTGCACCACCGACACTCCCGGCTTCCCTAGCCTCAGAAAATTCCTTTATAAGCACTTCATCCTTTGCTGAACCCTTTGCTGGTGACTATATTGAAGGGGAAAGCACACCTGGAACGGAGAGCAGCGTGGGTGATCCGAGGGGGTTTCTGGCTGCTCCTCAGTTGGCCGCTTTCTTTGCAACCTCCTCCGACGCTGCTGCAGGGATTCCTAGTGCTGCTGTGCCAGGGCTTCCCAATGTTGGAAGGGATTTGGCTGTCACAGGGGTATCTTCTGCTCCTATTTCCCGGGCTTCAGGTGGAGATGGGGCAGGAGAGAGAGCCTTAGGAGGGGTGCTCTTATCGGGTAAAGAAGGAGGAGGAGCAGCAAGGGGGGTGCTTCTGCCTAACCCCCCTGGGGGGATGATGCTTCTCAGTGACTTGTTACCTGCTACCAGTGCCACGTCTACTGGGTAAGTTACGGTTGCCTTCTGAAGTGCCTCAGAAAATGCTTATTGCCTGCTACCAGTGCCACGTCCCACGGATTTATTTTTTTAAGCGCCTCAAAAAATCTTTGTTGCCTGTTACCAGTGCCACGTCTACTGGGTAAGTTGTGGTTGCCTTTCTGAGTGCCTAAAAAAATGCTTATTGTCTGCTAGCAGTGTGGCGTCCCATGGGTAAGTCTTTTGAGTGCTTCAAAAGGCGCCTCAAGAGTCTGTTGAGGAGCCTCAAAAGTCTGTTAGCAGTGTGGCGTCCCATGGGTAAGTCTTTTGAGTGCTTCAAAAGGCGCCTCAAGAGTCTGTTGAGGAGCCTCAAAAGTCTGTTAGCAGTGTGGCGTCCCATGGGTAAGTCTTTTGAGTGCTTCAAAAGGCGCCTCAAGAGTCTGTTGAGGAGCCTCAAAAGTCTGCTAGCAGTGTGGCGTCCCATGGGTAAGTCTTTTGAGTGCTTCAAAAGGCGCCTCAAGAGTCTGTTGAGGAGCCTCAAAAGTCTGCTAGCAGTGTGGCGTCCCATGGGTAAGTCTTTTGAGTGCTTCAAAAGGCGCCTCAAGAGTCTGTTGAGGAGCCTCAAAAGTCTGTTAGCAGTGTGGCGTCCCATGGGTAAGTCTTTTGAGTGCTTCAAAAGGCACCTCAAGAGTCTGTTGAGGAGCCTCAAAAGTCTGCTAGCAGTGTGGCGTCCCATGGGTAAGTCTTTTGAGTGCTTCAAAAGGCGCCTCAAGAGTCTGTTGAGGAGCCTCAAAAGTCTGCTAGCAGTGTGGCGTCCCATGGGTAAGTCTTTTGAGTGCTTCAAAAGGCGCCTCAAGAGTCTGTTGAGGAGCCTCAAAAGTCTGCTAGCAGTGTGGCGTCCCATGGGTAAGTTGCAGTTGTTTCTTTACCTAACGCTGCCTGGAAATGCTCAACTCACGAGTTTGGTCCTTGACGTGACCTGTGTGCATCTTGACTAATCTTGAGGCGCCTAATATATATATATATATATATACATATATATAAACATTTGAGGCGACTTGGAGTTGCTTCTCAACAACCTGCTGCTCACACTGAATATTCTCTTCATTCATTTGGTCCCCGGCATTTTTGCATCTTGAATGCAATAACACCCTCAGACGATGCCACAGATGCCCTCTTCTTCTAGAGATGCCCTTGTTCCTTCACTCATGCCATTTCCCCATTCATGTTGTTCCCCCTATCTTTTCTTTTCTTTTCTTTTTTTCTTTCTTTTCTTTTTTCTCCCTAACAATTCCAAACAGCAACTCGCTCGATTCGCAAGGCACTGCCTCTGTTGAAGGTGCGAATTCGGGAGTGGAAGATGCGAGAGAATCTCGAGCCTTTGTCACGCGTGCAGCCACGACCACTGCAGAGCGGTGCCTTGAGCTGCTGCAGCAGCCGCTCACTCCCTTGGTGAGTTACAGGTCCGTCCTTTTAGGCACCTGAAAGCCGAGAATCTGGGGCAGTGCACACGCATGCAGCAAGAATCACTGCAGAGCGGCGGTGCCTTGAGCTGCTGCAGCAGCTGCTCACTCCCTTGGTGAGTTTGGTGAGTCTGGAGTGTCAGTCGCACATGCATCCACGGCTGCTGCAGAGCAGCGGTGCCTTGAGCTGCTGCCGCAACCATTCACTCCCCTGGTGATTTGGGAGGGGATTTGCCGTTGTGCCCTATTTTGTTGCCTTTTGTATATGGTAATGGCATCGGATGCCCCACTTGAATGAGAGTTAACTGGGGCGGTTTTGCTGGTGCTTTATCAAGACAGGAGTTTCATTTCGTTGGGCTTTGTTCTGTGGATTCTACATTGTCTCGTTTGCAGGCAATGTCGGAGTTCCAGTTCCAACCTCAGCTCTCCAATGCCCTTGACTTCTCCCTTCCGGACTCCTTACCACTTCCTTTTGGTTCGTCTCCTGGTGATTCTCCTGGTTTCCTCGGCGGACCTGATGAGTCGTAGGTGCACGTTTTGTGCAATTAGTTACGGCAACATTGTTGAAATGACTCGTGTTTTAAAGTGCACGGTTCGTACGAAAAAAAAAATTGACATGCTCTTCTTTTTTTATCACCAATACTAGGAGAGCTGGTCCCTGTCTTGTTGATAATGGTGTTGGTGTGGATGGCTGGTGCACTTAGTCGTGTTGTGGATGGTGGGTGCATTTAGTTGTGGTGTGGTGTGGTGTGGATGGAATTAAATGTGGTGGTGAAAGGTAGACGTAGACGGCATAATAAAGGTAGCTTTGTGAAACGACTGGAGTGTACAATCAGCAAAACGAGCAATTGTTGCGAGATTCGCGATAAGGCGCCTGCCTAGGTTTCATTTCCCCTCGCTGCGCCGCAGATTGCGGCAGGCTTGAGCCGCCAATAAACCATTTCAATGTTGAATTGACATTTCCCATCCCATCCCATCCCAAGCCACCCCAGCAACACGTTCAATTCTCACATCAGTTATTTGGAACGCGTTTCTCATGTTCAGCTCTCCTTCCACCCAATCCCTGCCGTACCTCCTGATTTACCTCCTCATCTTCCCTGCTGGTTTTTTTGTTTTATTTATTTTCGGTGATTGGTTCAGGCGAACTTTAGCTGTATGACAGTCTTCCAGCATCCCTAGCCGACAGCATTTTTTCAAGTTTATGAAATTAACTCAGAGACACCTCCGCGGTGCATTGTCGATTGGACTTCAAGGCGAAATTTCAATCACGCGACCCTCGTCAAGCTCGAAAAGCTCGTGTTCATCGGAACCAACGTCTAACGGAATCAGGAGGCCAAACAGGTTCAATCAGGGTCAACCATGGCGGCGCCTCCGTCTTCGGCGCCGATGGGCGCGTGGACTACCGGCCTCTGCGGCTGCACCGAGGACTGCGGCACCTGTAAGCCGGTTTTTCAGTGATGTGTTGCAAATTCTTGAAGCGTTTTGAATTTTCAAGCGAGTTGTGCATAGCGCATTCTCTAGTACTTCCAGTTGCGTTGCTTCTTAAGCTGTTATTAAACTCTTCTTCTGTCGAGTTCGTCTCTTAGTCTATAAGCCTGTTTTTTTCTTGTTGGAAGCTTTTCCTTTGTGTTTTGCTGTCGGGTAATTATCGGTTCGCCTCGATAATTCGACGCGCGACACGCTTTGAAGATTCGAAGATTGATTCGCCTTGTGTGTTTTTTTTGCCGTCTCAGAATTCTCCTTTGTGTGCTGATAAAAAAATCGTGCCTACGGATGCTTCAGGTCCTTTTCGCTGTGACTTTATTTCTTCCTTACTTTCTTCTTTTTTTTTCTTTTTTTCCATCTCTATTTTCCTGATGCATTTTCCTGCAGGTTGCTGTGCGATCTGGTGCCCATGCATCATCGTCGGCCGAAACGCGGAGATTGTTACAGACGGCTTAACAGGTAACATGGCTTCAATTACCGTAACTTGCAGCCGGCTCTGTATGAAGGTGATAAGTGTTGTTTCGAGACTGTCTCAGAATTCACGCTTTTCGAGACGGTGCCAGCGCCGCGTGCTTCAATTACCGTAACTTGCAGCCGACTCTGTATGAAGGCTGCTCGGTGGGTCGTATGATCAATGGCGAATGGTGAATGGTGAACAGTGAAAGTGACCCTTGCGAGGCCACGTGGCGATCCTACGTTGAGCACCGTATGTAGTGCCGCTGTTCTTCGCCACCCTGTAAGGGCAAATAAAACAGGCCAGCTGTTACGTGCATTTCCGTTCACCCATTCTTTCTTTAGTCAAAATCAGCACGCCTTGTCTCTTGTTCTCGTTAGTGGCCCCTCCGTTTGTACCAACACACGCCCCAAACCCCGCTGCTCTGTTGCTTCCCTGCTTTCGCCCACCAGACTCCGGCACTGCCTGCTGCCTCTGGTATCTCATCCAGATCCTCCTCGTCTGTATAAGGTGCCTGGAGTGTTGTTCAAAAGTCACCCCTTCCCTGTTGCTTCCCTGTTCCTTATCTTGGCTTCCTTCGCCCCACCAGACTCTGGCACCGTCTGCTGCCTCTGGTATCTCTTCCAGATCCTTGTCTCGTCGGCATGGGCTGCCTCTTGAGTGGACTACAGATTCACCCCTCTCCCTCCTACCCTGCAACCTGCGTGCTCTTGTTTCGCTGTTTTGCTTCCTTCGCCCCACCAGACTCTGGCACCGCCTGCTGCCTCTGGTACCTCATCCAGTTTCTCCTTGGCATGGGCTGCTTCTACTCCTGCGGTAAGACCCTGGAGCCCTTAACGGAGCAGATTGTAACGGGTATTTTCACCCCACCAGACTCCACCACCGCCTGCTGCCTCTGGTATCTCATCCACATCCTCGTCTGTATGGGCTGATTCTACTCTTGCGGTGAGGCTCTTGTGGCTTTAACGAAGCAGACTGTAACGAGGTAAACTGGGTACTCTAGCACCGCCTGCTGCCTCTGGTACATCATCCAGATCCTAGTTTGCATAGGCTGCCTCCATTCCTGCGGTAAGCTCTTGTGGCTTTAGCGAAGCAGACTACAACAAGGTGAATGGGTTTCGCGAGGTGCTTTGTTCAAATGATAAAGGCCCCGCAGATCGGGTCTTGAGTGCCTTGGCTTTGTTAACATGAGCTAGGACTGTGTGACTGGGCCCCTCTTGCCTGTTTTTTCAGTCGACTCAATACACACTACTGAGTTGACAGATTTTTTATTCTTCTCAAAACACTCTTTTGAGTCAGACTCAAAACACTCCGGTTTTGGCTTCTGGTAATGTGGGCGAGGGATGTGTGACTGTGACTGGGTCCCTTCGCCCGTGTTTCGATTCTATTCAAAGCACACTTATGACTCAGACTCAAAAACCTCCGGTTTTAGCTTCTGGTAACGTGGGCGAAGGCTGTGTGGCTGTGAATGGGTCCCTTCGTCCGTGTTTCGATTCTATTCAAAGCACACTTATGAGTCAGACTCAAAACACACTGGTTTTGGCTTCTGGTAACGTGGGCGAGGGCTCTGTGACTGTGACTGGGTCCCTTCGCCTGTGTTTCGATTCTATTCAAAGCACACTTATGAGTCAGACTCAAAACACACCGGTTTTGGCTTCTGGTAACGTCAGCGAGGGCTATGTGACTGGGCCCCTTCGCCTTCTCCCCTCCTCTCCTCCCCCACTTTGTTTCCTTTCTCCATTTACTCTCTTCCTCTCCTCCCCTCCCTCCCTTCGCCTCCTTCTCCTCCTCTCCTCCTCCTCCTCGCGTTTTAAACTGTATTGAATGTGACTAAAGAAAAGGCACATACATGAGCATGCCTCTGCTCGCGCCATCTTTCGATCCAGTCACTCCTGTACACGGGTGCGCTATAGGCTGGAATCTAGTTGAACCTTGTTTTGACTCGAGTTGACTTCTGATTCGACTCAATAGTCAACCCAGTCATTCCTGTCCACGGGTGCGCTTTAGGCTGGAATCTACTTGAACCTTGTTCTGAGTCGACTCATAACTCACTCCTGTTTCGACATACATTTCTCCATTCACACTCCGCCAGGCTTCCGCCAGAGGCTGCTGCAGAAGCACATGCTGCCAGCCAATACAGCCCCTGCATGCTCGTCTCTCACTGCCCATCTCCGCTCCCCTGTTGAGTGTCACCCTATCCCGGCTTCTCCGCCAAACTTCTGCCAGAGGCTGCTGCAGAAGCACGTGCTGCCAGCAAATCCAAGCCCTGCATGCTCGTCTCTCATTGCCCATCTCCCCTCCCGTTTTGCCTGTCTCCCTATCCCTGCATCTCCCTATCCCTGCATCTCCCTATCCCTGCATCTCCCTATCCCTGCATCTCCCTATCCCTGCATCTCCCTATCCCTGCATCTCCCTATCCCTGCATCTCCCTATCCCTGCATCTCCCTATCCCTGCATCTCCCTATCCCTGCATCTCCCTATCCCTGCATCTCCGCCAGGCTTTCACCAGAAGCTGCTTCAGAAGCGCATGCTGCCAGCCAAGCTGTGCTTCCAAGGACATGCGTTCGGCCAAGCAATGCGCTATGAAACAATTCAACAGACACAACATCATGCCCATTCCCCGATGCCCTTCCTTTCCCAACTTTCTCCCAGGATTCCGAAAGAAGCTGAGGCAGGGCAGAAGTTCATGCTGCCAACCAAGCCCTGCGGGGATTGCCAGACGTCATTTTCGGCTATTCTACATCCCACCCCTCTCCCACCTTCCACCCTCTCCCAGGCTTCCTCAAGAAGCTGAGGAACAAGTACATGCTGCCAGCCAAGCCCTGCACTATGAGTCAATTCAGCAGACTCAACATCATGCCTTTTTTCCGATGCCCTTCCATTCCCTACTTTCTCCCAGGCTTCCGCAAGAGGCTGAGGAACAAGTACATGCTGCCAGCCCAAGCCATGCACACAGAGTCAACTAAAACATATTCGTTCCTGCGCCAAATCTCGTCCCTCCCCCCCACCTTCCACCCTCCACCAGGCTTCCGCAAGAGGCTGAGGAACAAGTACATGCTGCCAGCCAGGCCATGCGGGGATTGCTGCGTGCACACATTCTGCTTCCTCTGCGCCATCAGCCAGGAGTATCGCGAGCTCAAGATCCGAGGCTGGGAGCCCAAGCTCGGTAAGTCCGAAGCTGTAGCCCAGGCTCGGTAAGTCAGAGGCTTGGGTAGAGCGTTGGGGACTGCTTCGTGCACGCCCTCTGCCTCCATAGCGCCATCCACCAGGAAAACTGCAAGCTTGAGTTTCCGCGGCTGGGAGCCGAAGCTCAGTAAGTCCAAGGCTGTAGCCCAGGTTCGGTGAGTCACAGGCTCGGGTACTGCATTGGGGCTGCTGCGTGCACGTCTTACGCTTCCAACGCACCCAGTGCCAGGAATACAGCAAGCTCAAGAACCGAGGCTGGGAGCCCAAGCTCGGGGCAAGCCCGAGGCTGTAGCCCAGGCTCGGTAAATCAGAGGCCTGTGTATTCGCTTTGAGGACTGCTGCGTGAACATCTTCCACTTCCATAGTGTCATCTACCAGGAGATGAGACGATTTTTTGGTCGACTCAAAAATCCTGGTGTGTTTTGAGTCGATTAAAAAATCGGTTCATCAATCGCTAACATCTTCCACTTCCATAGTGCCATCTACCGGGAGTACTGACACTTGTTTACCAAGATTGTGATCTTGTTCACCCCGTTGTTATCTTGTTCACCTGTCTCTTACAATTGACCCTTTACCCCTCTCTTCTCCTCTTCACTCTCTCATATCCCAAAGGCTATACTGGCAATGCGAGTAGCTTCATGGCTGCGGGTAAAGTGCCATCACTTCTGTCCACTTCTATCCATGCATCCTCCCCTCCACGACCCCTCTCTCTGTTACCTTGTTACAAGGTTATCAGGGCATTGCGTGTCGCTTCATGGCTGGAGGTTAAGTGCCGCATACAGGGCAGCAGATGGAGCGAAGAGCAGAAGAAAGCCTCACAGCCGGAACGCGTGCGCTCAGAATTCTAGAAGAGGCCCGGTCGCTTGCTGCGGTTAGAATACAACATTCTCGTCGCTTCATGGCCTACAGGGCAGCACACTCATTCCCGTCACTTTTATCCGTGCCTCCTCCCCTCCACGATCCCTCTCTCTGTTACCTTGTTACAAGGTTATCTGAGCAACGCACGTCGCTTCATGGCTGCGGGTAAAGTTCCGCCTACAGGGCAGCAGATGGAGCGCTGAGCAGCGACAGAGAATTGTGCGGCATAAATAGATGCCTAGAATTGACACGTCACGATGTTGGCTTTGTTTTGTAACATAGTGGTGTTGTAAATGCAGCACAGTGGCTTTGTTTTGTAACATAGAGGGTTTTTTTTTTTTTTTTTTTTTTTTTTTTTTGCAGCACGGTGGCATTGTAATGCTCGTCTGGAAAAGAGCGTGCATGTCTTGTGAATTACTTGGAGAGATGGCCCTGATTTTTGGGTATGGAAGTGTAGTTGCATGATGTTTTATGTAGACGGCATAATAAAGGTAAATTTGTGAAACTGACTACAAATTCGACATCGAACAATTGTTGCCATAATCGCGAGGCCGAGTCTGGATTCAGTCCCTCCCCTGCGCCGCACACTGCGGCGGGCTGAGCTTTCATTCCAATAATTCATCCCTGTCTTCATTGGGTGGGAGAGATGGACACGCGGCTCGGTCCCTCTTCCCCATCGATCTGCTCCACGTGACAATTATTGGGCGCAAGGTGGTGAGGAGTTGGGAACCGGGGGAAGGTGGGGCGCAGTGGGGTGGTGTCGGGGGATGGGGGAGTGGCTGGGGGCCGGGGATGGGGCATCGGGAGGAGGGAACACCACATTTTTAACCCCAACTCCTCGCCCGATCCGACCCCCGAATCCCCAAGTTCCCCGTGTTTTCCCCGTCCTGAATCCCCACGGCTGTTACGCCACGCGCCCCGTTGGAAGCCAGCAGACCACGCGCTCACGTTCTTCATGTTTCTGAAATTACACAAAGCACACCCAGCCTAACCACCCAAGAAAACGAATTCAGGGTTGAGAAGACACTCCGAGTCCCAGCAACACGATCAGCACTTCAAATTGCATCTGTCGTTGGTAAGTAAGCATTTCTCACTTGACCCACCAATCCCTGTCTAGTAGCCCATGCCATTCACCACCAGTACAGCTCCGCGTTTCCATCACCTCTACTCGCTCATTCTGGCCCGCGCTTGTGGAGAGGCAAGTGCTCTTGGAAGACGAAATCAGGGAGTTGACGCCCTAGTAAGCAGCGAGAGACCACATACTGAGAGACTGCATACCTGCCTCCACTTCCCTAAGTTAGCTCTTCATTTTTCCTGCAGTTCCCTTTTCGATTTTTTCAGGCCACGATCCTTGCGAAGACACGATCTTTGCGAGGCCACGATCCTTGCGAGGCCACGATCCTTGCGAGGCCATGATCCTTGCGAGGCCACGATCCTTGCGAGGCCGCGATCCTTGCGAGGCCACGATCCTTGCGAGGCCACGATCCTTGCAAGGCCACGTGGCAATCCTGCGTTGAGCATCGGATGTAGTAACGCCGTTCTTTGCCACCCTGTAATGGCAAATCAGATTTGCCAGCTGTTCCGTTCATTCCTGTTCACTATTATCTCTTAGTCAAAATCGGCATGCCTTGTTTCTTGTTCTCGTTAGTCGTCTCTCCGTTTGCACCTACACACCCCCCGATCCCCGCTGCTTCCCTGTTATTTCCCTCGCGCCCAGACTCTGGCACCACCTGCTGCCTCTGGTATACAATCAAGCTCTCGCCTGCTTGGGTCACCTTAAAAACACATCTTCCCTGGTCTTCGCTGTTCTTTCTCTGCTCCTCCCCTGTTCCTTAACTCAACTTCCCTGTCGCTTCCCTCGCGCACCAGACTCCGGCACCGCCTGCTGCCTCTAGAATAACATCCAGATCCTCATTGGAATGGGCAGCCTTTAAAGTGGAGTTTTAATCATAAGTCACCTCTTCCCTGTTGCTTTTCTGTTCCTTCTCTTGGCTTCCCTCGCGCACCAGACTCCAGCACCGCCTGCTGCCTCTAGAATAACGTCCAGATCCTCCTCGGCATGGCCTGCCTCTTGAGTTGACCACAGATTGACCTCTCTCCCTCCTCCCCTGCAACCTGCGTGCTCCTGTTTCGGTTGTTTTGCTATCTACCAGACTCCGGCACTGCCTGCTGCCTCTGGTACCTCATTGAGATCCTCGTCTGCATGGGCTGCCTCTATTTCCCCCCCAAGTTAGATGCAAGAGCTCACCTCTTTCCCTCCTTCGCTGCTCCTTCCCTGTACCTTTGCAAACTTGGCCCACCAGACTCCGGCACCGCCTGCTGCCTCTGGTACCTCATTGAAATTCTCGTCGGCATGGGCTGCTTCTACTCCTGCGGTAAGCTCGTTTGGCCTTAACGAAGCGGACTCTAACGAGGTAGATTGGGTACTCTAGCACCGCCTGCTGCCTTTAACACGGTGTAACGAGGTAGATTGGGTACTCTAACACGGTGTAAGTCAATGCAACAGACTGATTCGTTGTACCCGTTCCCCTATGCCCTTCCATTCCCCCTTCTCCCCCAGGCTTCCGTTCAAAGCTGAGGCAGAATTACAAGATGCCAGCCCAAGCCATGTGTGAGCGGTTAGAAGTTCATTTGCCATACCCAATCCTCTACTCCCTTCCCCTCCCCTCCATCGATGCCTCTCCCCCAGGCTTCCGTTCAAAGCTGAGGCAGAAGTACATGCTGCCAGCCAAGCCCTGTGGAGACTGCTGTGTGCACACCTTTTGCCTCCTATGTGCCATCTGCCAGGAGTACCGCGAGCTCAAGAACCGAGGCTGGGAGCCCAAGCTCGGTAAGTTCGAAACTGAACCAAGGCTGGGAGCCCAAGCTCAGCAAGTCCGAGGCTGTAGCCCGGGCTTTCACAGGCTCGGGAAATGTGTTGGGAACTGTTGTGTGCACACCTTCTGTCTCATGTGTGCCATCTGCCAGGAGTGTCTTGAGGCTGGGAGCCCAAGCCCCATAATACCCAGGCTGTAGCCCAGGCTTGGTAAGCCAGAGGTTGAAATTTTGCTTCGGTGCCTGCTGTGTGCACAATTGGTGCTTACTTCACGCTCTAGAACTGGGACTGGGAGCCCTAACTCGCCACGTCCGAGGCTCTAGGCTTGGTGAGGTGAAGGCTCAGTAGGCTAGGTGGGTTGAAAGGACTTGAATGCAATAGTTTCGCTCGTTGTTCTCCTCGCTCTCCCACTATGTTGGCAGCTCACTCATTTCCTTCACTTCTCTCCATGCCTCTCCCCCTCCCTGACCTTCTCTCTGTTACCTCGTTACAAGGTTATCTGGGCAATACACGGCGCTTCATGGCTGCGGGTAAAGTGCCACCTACAGGGCAGCAGATGGCGCGCTGAGCAGCAACAGAAGATTGTGCGACAGGAATAAATGCAGGAGACATGTGGACACAAGATACATAGAATCATGGGGGAGGTGTCAATAATGTGTCGAAGCTCTAGCAGAAGTGTGGATCATAAGCTGTTAGCTGTTCAGCACTCTTGCTCAGCCTCTTGCTTCTCATTCTGTTACGTTATTCTTCCTAAAGCATGTTCTTTCCTATGCACGACTCTCTTGTCCTCCGTGGTGCTCTAAAATATTGATGGTATTCGTGTACAACCTTACCTTGATCGGCATATGATACTTGCTTACCCAAGAGGATGAATGCCACTTAGAGCTTTATTTAGTCAGCCAAAAACTGCAACATGCAATCAGCCATGCTTGTATTATAATTAAAGCATACGGTAATTATATAACGCTGGTACTGTAGAGATGAAGCAGAAATTCAGACCTTTTAGGTAGCAGCTAGGGTTAGTAATGGATAGATTTCAACGTTTTTGTCAGTTTTTTTTAAGTTGCAGTGTATTCCTCCCAACTGTCATGGCAGCATTTTGCGCGATTCTGATTCGATCCCAGAAGGTTAGCCATAGGTAGCACACCGCAGAGTGACACTTGTTAATCTCGCTAAATCGCTTCGTTGTGCTGCGCTGGCTTCGCCCACGCCCCTGTACGGGGGCCGAAGACTGGATTGTGCCTGTTCGCCCTAACTGGACGAGCTTCGCGAGTCACGACCCACCCTGGAAATCTGGTTTCAAATTTAGCTGATTCTGCTGTTGCTCATGGTCATCTCTCCATACAGTAGTCAGTCCCTAAGTGGTGGTATGGCGTCCTCTAGAGCAGTAACACCACAGGTGGCAGGAGCGACACAAGAGATGAGTGAGTCGAGGCTAAGGATGTTTGCAGGGAAGGTGAGGGGGGTGGACCATAGTCGCCACCATCTAACCATAGCGAAGAAAGTGCACACGGTCCTCGCGAATTTCAACCCCACCAATTTCACACCCCTTAGCAATCCTTTCTGGTTTCCCCGAAATCGAGGGTCATTCGGACAGCTTCGGCTTTAAGTAGGAAAATGTTCGAGACTACCCACACGAGTCAGCAGGAAAACAAAAACCAGGGTCGCAGCGGAAAAAACGGTCTATGCGCTGCAGCCACTGCGTGAGAGTTTCGCGAGATCGACACGAACAATGTCACGAGTAGCCTGAAGTTCCTGAATGTTTGATCCCTAAAGCCAAAAACGGTCAAGGGTGATTTGTGCAAAGTTTCAGGAGACGTGATATTGGCCGAGGACTCGGTGTAGGAACCTTATCGTGACGACAAGTATACACCACATCACCATCCGTTGGGCCTTTGTTAGATTCTGGTAGTAGAGGCCAAGAATGGCCAACCTACAAGTGGCCAATCAACTCATCGCGACCGATTTTGTCGCGATTCGCTTTGACAATCAAGTTTGGCTGAGAAGGATAAACCGATGGACTCATCGCCAAATTGTAATGTCTCGAAACTGTCCCAGAAGATTCTTTTCGAATACTTTGGGGACAGGTTGAAAAGTGTCTCGAAAGACACTTTCGAGACTAAGTGAAATGTCCTGAAAGTGTCACGCCTAACTGACCCGAAAGTGTCTTTCGAGACACATTCGAGACATATCCAACCAGCACATTCAGGACTGTCCTCAGGAGAGATTCGAGACACTCAAGAGACAAATTTTCAAGTTTAAAGCCCGTATGCATTATAAACACTACACTATTACACTGTTCCAAAAAATAGGCTACCGCACATATGCATCCAACTTCAACGTCCTTCAATATTTGCACCACTCTGCATTATTTTTTGGTTGCTTCCAAGTCCAGAGTGTATCAATCATATTTTATCCTGAACACAAGACATCACATTGAAGTTTTAATCAGTGAATGCCTCAGTTGATGCCTAACCAAATGTGATGCAGAAACAACTAGTATGCAACTTATTCATCCAGCAGTCCACAGAAGACGACGTAGATTGGAATGAAAGTTACAATTACTCTTCGTCTTTATCTGTACCTGCCAGTTGGCCAAATGTGGCAAATTACAATTAACCATCAATTGCGTGAAGGGAAATAAATGCTCGAAAAACGCACGGGCGAAGATATTGACATGCCCTTTCTTCAATTTCTGTTGAGGGTATTCTTACGATCAAACAAAAACACAGCAAGTAAAAGCAGGATTATATACCTTTAAAGAACGACAACGTTAGATAAAATAGAATTGCATGAATACATCAAGCGTAGCCAGAATGACACGGATATGCATGACAGGTTTAAGGGTACGAAATACTAACCGTCATTTCAAATTGTATTTGCTGTCGTGATCCACTGCCATGGAAAGGAAGGAACGCAAGGGAAGAAGATGCACAAATTAGATGCATTAACATTGAAAAGGACGATATAGTTGATGGGAGATAAGAGAGTAACTAAGAGATGCTAATCGACATGACGGTTCTGGTGACGATAGAAGAGGTAGAACAAGAGCGCTATTAATTGCAAACAAACAGAAATGCGCGCTATAGGGATTCAGATATGAAATCCCGTTGAAAACTTCAACGGGAGTTACTAGTAGAGCCAAGTTATTGGCAGACACAGAGACAGAACAACAAAATACGAGGAGAAAGAAATGAGTTGTGACGAGCAAAACGCTCTAATCCAGCAAAACGATTGAAATTTGAGGGAGGTTTGGATGGGTTTCACTAGTTTCGCAGTGGCTAACGTGATGAGGTTTTCACATTGAAGTGGTTGGCACAGGTTGTTGAGTATTTGGGTTGTGTGGTGGCAGTGACGCGACTGTTTTCCAGTGCACGTGGCGATTTTGATGCAGCTGGCAGGTGCCACGTTGGTTTGCATGACAGGTGGCGCAAAGGTACTGCTTATTTCGGATCAGGATGCGTTTTTTTCAACGAACGAATCTCCTAAGCGAAGTTGCTAACAAGCTCCAGGTCAGTTATACCCACGTTAGCTCCTAGCGCAGTGGTCTTGTACTTCAGATATTATCCGAAGGTGTTGAGTTCGATTCCCAATGAGGTTCTTGACGCTGAACACAAAAGCAATATTTTGTTTTGTTGTACTTGTTTTGAGTGCCAGTTTTTGTAACAAACAACTACTGGTAACATTGTGGGATTATGATTACCACCAACATTGTGGTGTACTTATATTTCGTAATGAAATATTCCAGAAGGGTACAACACGAACGAAAATCATAAACAAAATCTACACCCAACGCAATGGAACTGACATCGACGGGCATCGAACCTGCGTATTCTGATCGCGTTGCAGTTCTAACCTTCCCAGGCCTGGCCAGATTACGGCACAAGTCACTTTTGGGACATCTTGAAATGTAGCGCAAAACCGCCTGAAGACGAAAATGTCCCGAAAGTGTCTTTCAAGATAGTTTCGGGACGGATTTGTGTCTGTTCTGGGACAGAATGGTTTCGGGACAGATTGGGGACCACGCAATTTTGGTGATGCTTGATTATGTGAAAGTACACGAAGCAGACCTTGTCCAGCAATACCATAGCTTGCCAGAGCAACCGTCGTGAGTTTCTCGTATGGAATCGCGACAAGTCCGAGGCCCGGCTTTGACATGCAATAAAGTTGACATCATCCCTCGCCTCGATCGGAGTCAGAGCTACCAGAAAAGCACTCCCGGGGATCGCGCCGCAAGTAACGGCCGTCGTCGCCATTGCCGCACCCAAAGCATGAGCGGCTGGGAGAGCCGCCGCGGCGGCGAGCAAGCCACGTCAGCAGCGACCGTTGCTCCTCAACGACCCAGGAGCCCACCCCAGCTCTGCCTGCCTCACAGCGTCACGGAGATGAAGCAGGCTTTAAGGAGTATGAAAAGTCAAACGTCGGGGAGCAGCCCGCCCCAGCTCCGCCTGCCTCTCGGCGTGAAGGAAAGAAAGTTGGCTTTAAGACGGATGAAATGCGCGGAGAAGGCGGGAGAGCAGACGGGGAAAAGTTTATCTTGCGGTCCCAGTTATCGGAACAATACCAATGCCGCTTATGATGACTCGTTATCGAGTAGTCACGATCGACGATTCTGTCGTGACGATAGCTGCGTTTGTGGCGCTTCGCGGAAGCTGACTGCGACGTTGAGGGCTGGGATTTCTCGTCGGACTAGGGGCCCTGTTGACCGTTGTTCGAATCCCGTTATCGTCGTCTTGACGGACGAAAGCGTGCGACTGTACGACGACGTCGCAGGCAGCCTGCTCGTCGCAGACATCATGGGCGACTTCCCGCGACACCAAGTCGCGCTTTCCACGTTCGCGCCCATTCCGCTCCCCCCTTCCCGCCCGTTGAGACGCGGAGTGACTTACCACTTAATCGAAGCATCGTATAAGCAGGACGACGGCGACAACTGGCAAGATTTAACGTCGCAAGCTGCGACTGTCTCTGGAGTGAAGAATACCGCATCGAGAAAACCCTTGATCGGATTTACACGA